ACTCCATCAGTGCCTCTCTCCACCCAAGTTTATAAATGGGTACCAGCGAAATTAATGCAGGGGTCAACCATGCGATGGACTAGGATCCATCCATGGGGGAGTAGAAATACTCCTAGTCGCTTCATGCTACAGAAACCGAGATAATCAGCAGCCTGATGGACCTCTTGGCTCGTATGCATGTAGACTTTACCTTACGTTTATCAACCGTCAGCTTTACAAATTGAACTTGGTACGGCGGTTAATTAAAATATATCTTTGTCAACGTTCACGTAACCTTTGGAATGTTCACTAACTTTGTTAGTTTTGTACCGTCATCGTACAAATTGGGTTTAGTACCTTGGTGAACAAGATTTATAAAACCAACAATACCTAGCTCTTTTTTCATAACAAGGAACTTATTAATATTTTAGGTAAAAATACGTTTCCATCACGCATTATAGATAACAATGCCGTGGAACGTTATCTCACAATGTTCCTTGCTCCTACCGATACTTCCACCACTATCAGCTATCGGGAAACATCAGTCCACTAATATAAATTACCTCATTCGTTGGCCCTTTTTAGAACACGGCTCAATGCAAAATTAGGCGTTTTACTCGGTGGTTTTTGAAACATTTCGACATGAAGTTAATTTGGTTTTTGTGTCCCCAATATGTCAAGAAAATTGTTCAGTGTAAAAGACAGGCTACCCAAGTCGCTGCGATCTCGTGATGTTTACAAGTTTTCTTCTGCCTGCTGTGATGCCAAGAAAATTTCTCATGTCAATCTTTCACTGGCTATTTAGTTTTGTTTGTCAATGAGTAAATATGTTTTTCATCGGACAATTAAATATCTATATTTTCTATATTTCTTGTCGCGTTTTAATATGACTTATATGTTCTACATTTATTTTCCGTTGTAATTCAATACTCTTTTTCACACATTATTGTCCTTTTCTACATTTTACATGTACTGAAGAAGAATATAGTTTCGTGCGAAACGTGTTTACACAAAAAAAGTCGTCGTTACCATCTTGAATATGTTTTGTACTGAAGTAAATAACTTTATCGTTCACTGGCTGAATGTAAGGTTGACTTTGTGCACAGTGAACATTTGATTTTGTCAGAAAGAGCATATATTAAGGGCAACTTAAATTATTAATAAAGGATTTATAAATCCCTCCCTTCAGAGTTTTATCTGGATAAAATCAGAAAGAAGCTTTAATTCGATAACAAATTTTGGCAATCAAAGCCGAGCCGTAATGAACGTGAGCCAATTCGGTTAGAGCTGACCCGAATCAACGTCAAAGATTATATCTTTATCCCGGGACCCGCAAGAGTTAGTAGTCAGGGTATTCAAAAAGGATATAAATTTCCTCCGCCCTCATTGACCCTCATGTAAATCTTGTATGGTTTGCATATAAGTAAGTATTTCTATTTCTGATATTTCTCTGTAGCTTTAGGAAACCGTGTGCTTCCATCTGCAAGTTAAACTCAACCGTCTTACTCAGTAAATTGTTGTATGTGTTCTTAAACTCCAGTAAAATATACAAGGACTTTACATTGTTGAATGTTAATCCTCCAAAACTAAATATTAACGCTGAGGGAGGCTATCTGGCACGAATTTACTTAGTTTAGACAACAGAAGCTAGTAATGTCCACTTTGTTTATAAAAACATCCGGGTAAATGTCATAGTGACGTTGTTTAAATTTTAACAAGAGCATCAACATGGAAATATATATCACTTTTCTATGAAACGATTTTTCACGCTTCAATTTATTTCTTCGTCTTTTCTTTCCAAAGAAGTAAAGCATGTTTTAGAGAAAACTGCCTTGAACGAGGTTCAAATGATCATACAGCAAATATCACAAAGGTAACAACAAATAAAGAACATTTGACTACACTGATTGCCGACGAAGACTCGCTAAATGTTTGCATAAGAGTGGTGACGGAAATCGTTCGTTGATAAATTTTTTTGTTAATTGTCGTTTTCAACTGTCCCCTCATTGTCAAACCATGGACGCTTGTCTTTTTTTCTTTTATTTCTTAACAAAGTTTTACCAAAACAAGCCTTCGTTAGTGGACTTTTTTCCTTCCTATCTATTCAGTGAAATAAAGTATAACTGGAACTAAGTTTTTTTTATTTTAAACCAAATTCAACAAAGATTACAAGCGCAACAAATCAACAAAATTAAGTCGGCGGAAAGCTTACTTAGCGATACGTGATCTTTGTAGATATAAACGGCAGTTTCTTTAGTTATTCAAATTTCAATTGTCAACCCTAAGCTTGTGGTAGGACGAATTGTAAATAGGAATAACCACTATACCTTTGTTAAGCTATAATTGACTTACGTAATGACTTTTCCGTATTAGTTTTATTTATTTAGGTTCCTTAATTTAAAAAACACTAAAGTAAAAGTAAGCACTAAATTCAGGCGCGCGGCAGTCGAAAATGGATGCACCGAGTACATTTTCACCTCGGCGAAATAATTCCAGCAACGGAGTGTCGACACCAGCTTTAGACGATCACAGCCTTCAGGCTGAGGCAAGGAAGGCCGGGATCTTTGGATTAATAGCAGTTCTGTCGTTTTTGTTGAACTCACTGTTCTGTGTGATTATGATGAAGAAACCTGCCATGTTGAAAAGACCACACAACATTCTTTTGTTCTCTTTGGCAATCACAGATCTACTAACAGGTTTGTAGCTTTATGAAAAACGAATTTAACAGTCCCGACGTTTGTACTAAAACAAGTCAGTTCAGTTGACCCACGCCATCTTAGAATATTCTGTTATTAAGTACAAATCAAGCTCAGCCATGTGAAGAAAAACATCAACAGCATTTATAAATATTTGAAATAAAGTTCTAGCTCGTTACCACCTAAGCGTAGGTGGTTGATTATGAAAATTATGTAAAAAAGTGACAAGAAATAAAAGCTGTCTTTTGATGTTCAATTTCCTAGATGTTCAAATGATACTCAATTTCCTTTTCTTTATCAAATTGTTCAAATGTACTCAGGGATTTTGTTTGAAAGTTTGGTATATTGATACTTAGCCACAAAAAGTATATTTTATTGATCTTATTCCGGAATAGCAATAAATGGAGTAAACCCGAGTATCGGTTCGATTGTGTGAGTCACAGAATGTTTTCCAAGCATTCTGCTCTTCCACCTCTGTCCTCCCCAGAGACCTCCCCAGAAATTCGACAAGTTCGTTATAGGAAGCCGCTGTGCAAGGTGAGTACAGGCACGTCTGCACTCATATCGTTCAGCGGATTCTTCTCACCCAAATAAAACCCTTTGAGCCTTCCTTTTTCCAGGAAATGTAAGAGTTGGGGTTTTTAATTTATTATTATTATTATTATTATTATTATTATTATTATTATTATTCAAATGCCACATCTTATTTACAATGCTAACATTACTTACTAATTGACCGTTACTAGACATTGTTCACATCCCGTAAAGCGCGGTGGCCTCACGGTTAGTGTGCTCGACTCCGGAGCGAGCGGTCCTGGTTCGAGCCCTGGCCGGGGACATTGCGTTGTGTTCTTGGGCAGGACACTTTGCTCTCACAGTGCCTCTCTCAACCCAGCGGGTCTATAAATTGGTACCGGCCAACTTAATGCTGGGGGTAACCCAGTCATGTGCCTGACTAGCTTAGTTAGGGAACATGCGCTACAAAAGAGAAACATTTCGACTGAAGACATCGTCTGGAAAACACTACTTATTTGGTTGAAAACTTCGTCTTTTAGCCTCTAGCTGTTTTTTTAGTTTCTATGTCCGTATAGTAACAAAAGGGTCGTTTCCAAAACCTTAGTTAAAAAAGCGAAAGTATTCACAAGCGGAATAATCGTTTAATGGGTCGAGGAAAAAGTAGCCAATCTGGAAGTTTTTGGAATGTATTCTTCCGGATTGAGGTCAATCAAAATTAGCTTTCTTTGTAACTCTCTTCCTAGACAATGTTACAGTTATCAAAAGTTTAATTTGTAATAACGCACCCAATGTTTTTGTTGTCAACAGGTATCTTCATTCCTCTTACTCCCGGCTATGTTATCAGCATCGACTCATTTCCAGTTCCGCGCGGTTTAGCTGGTGAACTCTTCTGTCGTGTTCTCAGTAGTAGGCATGCTCTGTTCACATTGGGAAAAGTCTCCATTTTAAAGGTCACGTGCCTGGCTATCGATAGGTGGTACTGTATTTTTCGACCCATTATGTACAAGCGTTACTTCACGCGAAAGAGGATCTTTCTTTACATCCTGGCTATTTGGGTTTGTTCTTGTTTTCTGCAGATCAACAAATTTTTTGAGTGGAAATTGTC